TTCCGATCAAACATCATCTCATTTAAATGTTATAATCATTTTGATTTTGATAATGACTTGAGGATTATATTCCTTTCTAAATATGGATTGATGTTGTTAGTCATCCTCTTTATTTTTTAGACAAACTTGATGTTGATACTCAGTTTCAATACCACAATGATGATGTTAATATCTCCAATGAAAAAGGATCAAAATATTAATCACCAATATCTTGATGGGAGGTCCTTTTTACAATTCATAGAACTAATCCTACCATAATATATATAACTTGTTCATTAGCAAAAGTAAAATATTAATATGTTAGAAATTCTGCGAGATAAAATAGTGCTCTACTCATAGGTCATTCTCATAGCATGCCAAGAGGTTTTAAGTGATTGAAATATTAATTTATAGGAGAACACAATTCATTTCAACTTCTTATTTTCTTCTATAAATGCATGTATAAATTAATAAATTTACAATAAAAGTTGATATTTATATTACATATACTTTACACACAAAAAATTAATCAATTACGTACTAAAAATATGTTAATTATAATAAATTATGTTAGATGTTAAATTATACATCTTGTATGACAATAGCAGTTAACAACGATATAAAAGAATTGTTCTCCCAAAACTTATACACCGAAGTGTTTGGATCTTTGGATACTAGAGCCTCATAAACAATTACAAAAGCACAAAGACAAAACAAAAAACAAAATAAAGAGAATATGAGAAGAACAATGATAGGAATAAAAGAAATATTTGTTTATATGTGTAAATGTTTAAATCTTTTATAGAATTTGTAAGTTAGTGTTATTCAAATAAATAAATAAAAAAAAAAAAAGCATGACCCACCAACGATTTTTGTGGCAGCTACCTTAGCAGTTATCCAGAAGCAAGTGAAAGTAGTTAAGCAATGGCCATGGATTTGGATAGTTAACTTACGTGAATAGAAGAAACGCAACATGGACGACAACAGCATCAAAACGGTGCGTTTCGGCATCCTAGGCTGCGCCAACATCGCTCGGAAAGTGGCTCGAGCCATCGCTCTCGCCCCGAACGCCACTCTCTGCGCCATCGCCAGCCGTTCCAAGGAGAAGGCCGAGAAGTTCGCCGCCGAGAACGCCTTTCCGGCGAGCGTTAGGATTTACGGGAGCTACGATCAGGTGCTGGAGGACCCAGGCGTGGACGCCGTGTACGTCCCCCTCCCCACCGCTTTGCACGTGCGGTGGGCGGTTATGGCCGCCGCTAGAAACAAACACGTGCTGCTGGAGAAGCCCGTCGCTCTTCACGTGGCCGACCTTGATCGAATCCTCGAAGCCTTCGAATCCAACGGCGTCCAGTTCATGGACGGTAGCATGTGGTTGCATCACCCTAGAACTGCTCGCATTCAGAGCTTCTTATCTTCTTCTAACACCATTGGACCAATTCGTTTTGTGAGTATTCCATTTCACTTCATTGTTTGTAACGTTTTATTTAGTAACTCCACCACCACCTTCGAAAATCTCCGTTATGGAACATCCAATTTATGGAATCTTTTTAAGTCTACTACTATGAAGTTTTTAAGTCAACCAGTGAGTTACATCGTGCAAAAAGTGTTTAGTTGAAAAAGAATTATGAAAATCATGAAATAGTTACCCATTTGACTTAGTAATGAGATTTCATGCTACCTAATGTTTTAAGTCTGCCAACTAAGGACTAACGTATGTTTAAGGGACAATCAAGGACTAATCATTTTTAACAATCTATAATTAGATGATAAATTGAAAGAAATTTATATCTTCCGTGTATTACACAGAGAATTTGCATATACATTTTTCAACAAAAATTTTCTACTTTTGTTTCCTTATCCAGCATCTCGTTAACATGTGTATTTTTCGTTAGAATTTTAGGGTCATTTTTATTAAGTAAGAAATAAAAATTTAATTAAAATATATTGTTCTTACACCTTTATCTATATGTACGATAAATTTATTGTGTTTCTTAATAATTACTTTAAAATTCTAAAAAAGTCATGTTTAGAATGATTTCAAATTGACTTACTGTATAGAAGGCTCACCTTACATGAAAATTAAACTCTTGATAAATAAACTAAACTGACACATTTGTAATTTTCTTTGTTTTGAAGATCCACAGCACATCAACAATGCCAGCACCACCTGAGTTCCTGGAGAATGACATTAGAGTAAAGCCAGAGTTGGATGGTCTTGGTGCACTTGGTGACTTGGCCTGGTACTGCATTGGTGCTTCCTTGTGGGCAAAGGGCTACCAACTACCAACCTCTGTCACTGCTCTTCCTGATGTCACAAGGAACAACGCTGGAGTCATCTTGTCCATCACAGCCTCTTTGCTGTGGGACCAACCACACCAAACACTTGCAACCATTCACTGCTCGTTTCTTTCTCACACCTCCATGGACCTGGCCATATGTGGTTCCAATGGCTCTCTGCATCTCAGGGACTTCATAATCCCCTACCACGAGACTAGTGCTTCGTTTGACCTCACAGTTGGTGCCAAGTTTGTTGACCTTCACATTGGGTGGAACGTGAGACCAGAGGAAGTTCATGTGGCCACTGAGCTCCCACAAGAAGCTCTAATGGTGCAAGAGTTTTCTAGGCTTGCTGCAAGCATTAGAGATTGTGGGTCGCGACCCTCTACCAAGTGGCCTGAAATCAGTAGAAAAACTCAACTGGTAGTTGATGCAGTGAAGAAGTCCCTAGAGCTTGGCTGCAAACCTGTTTGCTTGTAGATGGTTACAAAGCATGTTGCCATTAATCAAACAAGTCCTTCATCAAACACCCTTAAGCTAGCAAAGTGTTTGTAAATTGGAATAGATAAGTCGCATAATGGTAGAGAAGCCATTTTTAAGAATTGATACCCCTAATTAGTTTCAAGCAGAGTGATTGTAACAAGAGACAGAGATCAATTTCAACTTTATCAGAATCCATATTTCAGGAAGTACTATTGAGGATGAGATTTGCCATAGGAATCAATAATTGCAAGTCAATTTCCGTTAATTTTAGTTTTTCAATTCAGTCGCTACTCGCCAGTAAACTTAATGAAAGAATAAGGAATTAAACTTTGGTTCAGTGTCGAACTGAACTGTCACTGATTAGGGGATGCTGATGTAGAGAGGTGTGGAAACTTTAGGAGAGAAATCATTACTTCGCTTCTGGATGAGTTACTATTAGGAAAAACAGAATTTATAAATTTGATGTTTGTGTAGGTTTATAATTTAAATTTCACAAAATTGATGCGAGCATTTGATTAATAGTTGGAGAGAATCTCAGTCCTACATGCTCCACAGTCTTGACACCCATGCAAGCTGACACCAGCCCTCTGACTAGTCTCAAGTGAACATTGCAACCACATGCTCTTTTGCTGCTCAGAAACATGGTGGTGGAAGACTAACATATCAATTGATGAACCTTACGAGAACCACGCTACAAAGCTAACCATTGTAGTTAGAGACTTAGAGAGTTCCGGACTGTTATGCACCGGGAGTTAAAACACACATACACATATCTCACATTGGTAAGATATTGTCCATTTAAGTCTAGCTCTCACGGCTTTGCTTTTGGATATCACCCAAAAGGCCTCTCAACTAATGAAAACAATCGTGTATATATAAATTCATGTCCAACCTCTTGTTTGAATGTTGTGGGATTTTGCTTGCATTCCAACAATCATCCCCTCAAATAAATAACCATGCTTTTACCCCTTTTCTAGCGAAAACCATCAGTTCACGAGTATATCCGATGGTGACCCATAAAGCGCCATCGTGAACGGAACTAAGAGGATACTTCTCCATATATGGATTCATTGTTAGGAAGACTTTTAATACAAAGAATCCTATACCCAGATCCACCTGGTAACTCCATCATACTCGTCGAGCCGGTCACCTGATCAGACTATTGGCTCTGATACCATTGTCCGAATTATCTTGGTTACTATTATATTTTATCCTTGTTGTAAGGCTAAAAGGCATTTGCATTAGATATTCCTCCTCGTTCAAAAATAAGAAACTTTTGAACTATCCATGGACATAAGTAAACATTGACTGAAGCACGTAGTGTGTCATCTTCTTTCTCTTAATCTCTTTCTTTTACATATTGTCATAACACGGACTTTATAAACCCCACACCAATATCCACCATGCTCCAAGGCCTTAACACACATGGGATGGGTGTGCACCGACTCTTTGACTAGTCTCAGGCATACATTGCAATGTTGGCATCACCACATGCTCTTTCACAGTTGAGAGACAAGGTGGAAGACTCTAATATATCAATTGATAAGAATTTCACTTTGATTCTAATATATCTGAATGAAGGTGCATAATTTTAGCAGAAATTCTGAGAAGTCAAATTACTCCTAAATCCTGATCACAACTAAAATCTCATGGATTCAAGTTATTGCAAGTTGTCAACTACATTTTATATTTATGTATATTTGTGTCTCCTCATTACATACCAACCTTCATATGTACTGAAATAATAAGTTACACGTACACTAGTAGTCTAATCATACATAATCCAGAACCATGAAACTAATTAGCGGAATCAAGTGAATTGCACTGATGACATCAAGTTCTAATTACTAAATTAGTGGTGGTAACAATCAATGAAAAAGACTGCGATGGCGTAGATTATAATTTTTCTTAGTTATCATTGAATTCTCTGCAACTTCTTCTGGAAGTATATAGTCAGGATCATCAAGGCAATTCACATCATCCGGTAAATCGGCATCAACCCATTGAGACCAATCCTCATCATAATCAGTATCCACGTCCCATAGCAACTCCTTTTGTTTTTGCATGCTGTTAACCTTGTTGATCAGAGTTTGCAGCATCTGATGGTTCAACGTTTCATAGTCCCTGTGCATGATTAACAAGCAATTCTATGAGATATCAAATTTACATTCGAATAGCCAACTTTTCATGCTTGTACACTTACTTGTATGTGCAAATGGCATGTAGAAGTTGAACTGAAGCAGCTGCCATGAAAAATAATCGAGCCATGTTTATTATCCAGGTTTGATGCTCAATGGTATCTCTTGTTAAACGAATAATGAGTACTTCCAATAAGAAAGTACCACAAAGCTCTGTAAACAGCGAATAATGTTTAGTCAATGATTAAGTAGAGGTTTATAAACCAAAAGAAAGGATTGGTATACGTACCCATATATAGGAACGGTCTGATATTGTATGTTTGCTTTGTACTAGTCAACATGAAGATGACAAAGATTGATATGGAATAAATGAAGAAAGCTTTGATCATTCTTGATTCAAGCAACAAGGCATTTTGCAAAGCAAAAATCCTGTCTAAAACATCAAACATGGTAGCCTGCTTTGATTCAAAAGATTCCTGTAAAGTAGAAATACAAATTCCTGGTTAAAAAACCAAACCCTTAAGAGTTCATATATAAAAGCAATAGTCTACAAGAAATTGCAAACCTGAGATGACAATATTGACTTAGAGTTTTCCATTAAACGATCATGAAATCCTTGAATCTGTTCCTGACGCTGAAGAAGCTCTTCATGTTGTCTATGCCCATATTCAGCAAAATATTGTAGGGTTTTCCTGCAATACACCAAGGAGCTCAACATTTTTCCTAATGTAATTTCTGAATTCAAATTTAAAGCAGTTAACTTTGTCTACCTGCTCTCTTCTAGTGCTTTTGATTGAAACTCAGTCAATGAGTTTAGGCCCTCAAGTGCTGTGGATTGCCCATCTAAAAGTTGCTGTTGCTTATCTAAGGAAATCCCAGCCATATTCCCAATATCTTCAGCTTTGCTTTGCAGGTTGTTCATCTTTGATGACATAGCATCTCCAACTTTAATTACCTCGTTTTCGATCTCAATGGCTTCATCTCTTAACTTTTCAATCTCTTTGCCCAAATAATTGTAAGAGTCTTTGAGCATTGCCACGCCATCCTCCAAATGTCTCTTCATATCCTCTTGCCCTTCTTGTAACTGTGATTGTGACAGTGCAATTTTTGTAGTTTGCTCGTAAACACTCTTTGAATGCAGTAATACAGAATCTATGTGACCTTCCAGATTTTTAGCAGTTTGAGCCACTAGTTGTGTGTGAGTACCAATTGAATCAAGAGAATCATGAATCTGTTGCGAGTCTTTTAATAGATGCTCTGATTTCTCTTCAATGCTATCTAACTTGTCCTCAACATACTGTGCAGAACTTTTTAATTCAGTCACAAGTCTCTGTGTTTCGTGTTTGAATGCATGTGCCCTGGAAAAGTATACAAAACTTTAGTCAAGTTGAGACAAACACAAGAAATGAAATATGATTTGGAAAAGGAAATTGACTTAACTGCAACTGATAACAAATGGTGTTGGTTTCAAGGTAGAATTCAAGGTAAACCTTATGGGCAAGGTCATCTAAGGTTCTTGCACATACAGCAATGGAGGATTTGGGGTCACAATGGGGAAAGGGAGATCTGCCAGAATCCCTCTGAAAGCAATCACTTAGGTGCCAAGCCAATCTAGACCTCTTCTCATCAACAGCCAAGATTTCAGAGCACCCAGCAAAAAGATGTTGATAAGCATTTTGCCAACACGAGTTTGAGCTAATCATTTTCTGCTTAGCATTATGTATTAACTTTGTTCCCTTTTGGTCGTTGAAGGCCTCAATAGAGAACTCAGCACTAGAACCTCTAAAATTGCCTTCATTGGCATAAGTCCTGTCACTAGAGGGAGTCTCCTTAGATGATGAAAACCAACCCCATGACTCACTTCTTAACAATAACGAGAGCAAAATAAAAACAAGAAGACAACTCCTATGATCCATTTGAGGATTTTATCAGAAGTTATGTCGAAGGAATGATGATTAACCCTGTATCAGACACATCATAAAATTAATCAACTTTTGCTACCAAAAACTAATATCTAGTGTTGCGTACAATCCCTACAAAATCACAACAAAAATAAAGAAGGAAACCTAGAATATATTGAAATGAATTGAGAAACTGAGACGTGCCATATAAAAATCACAACAAAAATAAAGAAGGAAACCTAGAATATATTGAAATGAATTGAGAAACTGAGACGTGCCATATAAGTTTGGCATGTCGAAATTAAGATATAAATTTGACCAACAAAGCAAAAGGTTGTTTTCAGTGCAGAAGACTACAAAATGTTTATTTGAGATAAGAAGGAAATAGAATAGTTTCTGGTTGGTTGCATATATATTATAAAGGGGTGTAACGTTAAACCAAGAATTGTGACTGTTGGTCCTGTTTTTAATATTACTATTTTCACTCCTAAATATTTTACACTCAGTTTTGTTTTAATTGCAAAATGGCATTTATTCTTTCCTAATTTACATTACTGGTTTGGTTTTTTTATGCAAAATCCATCCCCAACTTAGACCCTTTGATCGGATGTCTCGAACCTTAAGAATCAATTAAAGTCTGAACCCTGAACCAATCAACCATGTTCCATCGTGCCCTGTGAGTCTTCAAAAACATTAACTTAAGGGAAGAGAGTGATGAAGAATTGAATATGGCTTTAAATCTTACGGTGGCTTTCTAATTGCTGCAAAACTATTAAACGTAGTATTTGTTGTATTCTCTTTCCTTATTTAAGGCGGAAAACAAAATCACAATCTCCATGCTGGCTAGTATGCAGTATATGCACTTCATAATTAAATCGAGAGAGAATAAAAATTTATAAGGAAAGTCTACCTCTGCAGATCCTCTATTTTCCACAAGCTGAGTTGTTAGTGTGTCAATAATTTAATGTTTGGGTTATGCTTGAAAGGGATATATAAGGAAAGAGAAACTTGGGATTCAAGAAATATAAAGTCGGCACAAAGCAAAATTGAAGTTTTTACCAGGAAATTTTCTAATGTTTTTCTTCTTTTCTCCGAACACGTCACAATCAGTAGCAAATCACAAGAAAGAATATATCATAGTTTTGAAAATCAGATAATCCATTAAATATTTTACAACTTCACATCATGAAAGGGATCGTATCATCCTCTACGAAAATATAGGACCGAAAAATAGAAAACAAAAAAATAACTTTTTTTAATAAAATAAAGTGAAATTAGCGACAACAGATGAATTACATCAAATACTATCAACGATTTCCAAACAAAGCCAAATCAAAACCAGAAATTATTAAAAACTAAATCTGTCGTATCCCATTATGCTATCACTGACACGATGTTAGAATCTGGATTTTGATAAGAGTAAATTAATATTGCTTAACTATTGCACCGTTTTGCTCCGGCAAGGAGAAACTGCCAGAACGAAAACCAAGAAGAACGAAGTGGCAATGAAAGTTTGAAACGAAGCACGAATGAACAAATTTAAAGTCACGTAGCAAAAATTCAAGTAAATGAATGAGTGAATGACACACACAAATGAAACAAAACTAAAGACTAAATTTCACTTCTTGTGTAATGTGTATAATGCACGTAACAATCACAAAGTGGCATGCACTTTTAAAAAAAACTATATGTTATAAAATGAAGCACCAAAAATAAAGTTAAACAAAATAAAAACATTGTATGTGCTGTTATTATCACAAATACAGAGACAGGGGGAGAAAAACCTTAGAGTGAAAACGGTGCGTTTCACGTTTGAAACATCGTGAAATTGAAACAGTCAACCTTATATAGGAGGAAGTAAACAGTCAACCTTATATAGGAGGAAGTAAACCATGGGATACAACTCTTGCCCGCTGGAAAGGAATAAACGAAAAAAACGCTGCGTTTAGTCAGAAAAGGCGCGTAACCGTTGCCATCTGTTTCAAGCTTGCTCATGAAGCTGAAGCATATTATGGTAGGATGGTCATCACATATTCAATTATAATAACTAGTTAATTACTCATCGTTTTTTTTATATTAATTGTAAAAGAAATACACGTTTTATTATTATTATTATTTTTTGTTTATTATTAAAACTAGTGTGATGTACGAGACAAAGTAGTTGAAAGAATAATACAATATGTTGTAATAATAAATTTAAAATGTAAATATAAAAGTTGAAAAAATAATGAGAGATAATTCCTAAATCATAAACTTATTAAAAATTTAAAAGTCATGAATTTTTTTTAGTTATATATATAGAGAAACTTTGTCATTCTTGATCAAACTTTACTTATCTTCAATTGAGTTGAATTAATTTAAGGGAAAGTCTTAAAATAATACTACAAAAATAACATATATACATATATATATATATATATATATATAGGGAGCATATTAAGTGAGAGAGAATTTATTATGAGAGATAAGAGGGTTAAAATTAACCCTTAAATTAATCAAGTGAGAGAAAATTTGAGATTTAATCAAGTGAGAGAAAATTAATCTAAAGGTTATATTTTAACCCTCCCATCTCTCATAATAAATTCTCTCACTTAATATGTTCTCTATATATATATATATAGAAACTTTTTTAAATGTGTTAAGAGAGAAATTCAACCAAAGATGATCGGTCGATAAAAATTTATTATCAACAAAATCAGTAAATTTTCTCTACCAATATAACATAATTATTATAAATAAATAAAAAGTTGGTTAGACAATCATGACCATCTTCAACATCATTCATACAAGTCTAGTAGTGTTGAGAATAATTAGTTTGTTAAAAGTATCTTTTAATTTATTACTAATTTGAAAGGTTATTACATATGCTCTCTAAAATGGAGTAGTTATACATTATTATTATATCTTTTATCAATCAATTACAAAATAATTTTCTATACTACTCCTTTATTTTATTTTGAAATTTGTGATGCATGACCATAATTCCTTGGTGTTACTTATATTTTTCCTTAGTCTCCTTCATCTCATATTTTTAAAGATAACAAATAAATCCATTTGTCCATCATCCATCCAATTCAGTCATTACAATAAAATAAATAATAGGTCAAATTCAATTCATTCATTTAATTTTATGGATGATTGGTGATTCATTCACTATTTTTCAAAATTCATTGAAGTACAATATCAGATATTTATTGAATTAAGATTTTAAAATACTATTTTGATATAAAACAATCTTGTGAATTTCAAAAAAAACTTTATAAAAATCTAATGACTTATACAAAAAAGATAGAGAAATAAAATACTTTAAAAATAAAAATTATTTAATTTTAAAACATTACTTTATTGGATATTCATCCATAAAAAAAATTGTTAATAGATAGATTGAATGGATTTTTTTTCTTTAAATGGATTGAATTTTTATATAAATTTTTAACAGATCTAAATGAAATAATAAATTCTTTTTGTCTAATTTATTATAATTCGTTTAAAAAAATTATTCAATCTATCAATTTGTCACCATATTTCTAATATCTAGGAGTATTATCCAACTCTGTCATTATCAAAATGAGACTGAAAGTCCAATCTGAACCAACTTAGATTCGTTGTTCTGCTTCTTGTGCGTTATCTGTTGCTTTATCTTTCTTGGTTTGGTAAAAATTGTGATATACCATGTCAAAGAGTGCAATTTCATTTGTCGATGAGTCCTGACCAACTCCAGGTTGCTATTGCTAGCTTCTAGATATCCGTGATTACTTGAGCAATGAGCACATATCACATTTCTTAGAAGATATATATTTAGAAACGTCAATTTACAGTAGACAAAAAACATAATTTATATGCCAAACACAGAACCTTCAAACTTGTCCTCCAGGAGTAATTATACAATAGCACATACAGTGCAAAACACCAAAGCAAGGATTTGTAAGAGAAAACTGAAGAATTAAAATTACACGAGATCCAGCAAGTTCAATGACATTGGTCAATCTGGCACCATTGCCTTGCATGCATGTCCTGCTGTACAAAAATATAACAAATAAAACAGACAACTAGATGCCAGAAATGTGCCAAATAACCCCGTCAAAGCTTCAATGTTAACTCAGGTGTTGAGTTCTCTATGTCAACCGGTGGATTGACCCCAATAAAACTCAAATTTGAACTTCCACTTGGTGTGAAATTTTCATGAGTATGGCCTCCTTCAGAGGGAACCTGATGGTAACTACCTTGCCACAACAATTCTGCCTCATCCTCCTCCAAGAATATTGGAAGACCAATATATCCTTGCTCAAATCTTGCACTGCTTTTCATCTCAGGAGGTCTTATTGTTGGTGAAAAACCATGGTGCAGTGAAGAGTGTGCCTTTATCCCTAAGGACCTCAAAGAACCATGAAGAGGAAGAGATGCTAGACTTGCATACCTCTCAGAGAAAAACCCCATCCGCAAAGCTCTCTTTGCCAATGTTCTTTCTCTCTTGTGTGCATTCTGGTGGCCACCAAGAGCCTGCGAGCTGAAAAACTTGCGCTTGCAGTAATTGCAAGAGAAAACTCGCGGGTTGGTTGCTGAAGTAGTTTGAGAGGGAGGATCATTGCTGCTCTCACTAGTGCTGGAGAATGAGAGTCCTGTTGAATCTCTAACCACTATGTCATTGTTGTTGAAGTTGAGAGTTAAGTCTAGAGAGATTCCATCTGAATGGAGATGAAGTTCAATTGGATTAGTGGCATTGGAAGAGTTGGTGAGGTTGTCAATACAAGGAGCAGCAGAGGTTTCTTGAATAGATATATTGGAAGCAACCTGGCTGCTAACTTCAGATTCATATTCTGCTGAGGCCACCACTTCAAGATCAAAGTTTTGTTTCATGACTTGCTAAGTTTCAAGCTAATTAACCGAGTACGTGCAGCAATCCACCATCAGAATAAGATCCACTTAAGAGATTGAACTGTTTGGTCCTGCAACGAAAATCCAATAGTTAACATTTAGTAACCATCATAACAAGAAATTCTAAATTCTTGAGTCAGTTCAACCACATTCATAATTTTACAGGCCTCTAATCTGACTTGAAAGAATATAAAAATGCTCATTTGTGTTGGTATTTGATGCTGTGGAAGATTATTAGTTATCCAGCTTGGGGGAAAAAAACAAACATGCTATGCTTTATCTTTTCCTTTGTGGAAGAGGATTAGTGGTTGCAGGCTGGCACAGATACACGTTTTCATTGACATGGAAATGATGGCATGTGCTGTGATTCAAGTGCCTTGATAAGTGCACTTTCTGCTGAAAAAGCATTTGTACTAGGCACTTTCTTTGCTTGTTTTGCAATATGTTGGCCTACCTAAATCGTAAAAGAAGAAGGCACTATAATCTAACATTAGTACATGATTTAAAATTTTTGGATTATTGGTTGAAGCCTGAAGGCAGAATGTAAGCTGAAAACCATTAGTATATCATCTTGTTACTAACAATTGGGACACATCAATGACAACCACGTAATGGTAAACATCTACAAAACCAGTTTCCTTTTCTTCTTACCTACCTCAGTTTTTGCCAATGTAACTCAAGTAGAACTAATATCTATTGAATTTTTTATTTGACCTATGGTAAATCTGAAATCAAATACAATGGTCAGATATTTTCTTTAATTATTTTCTAAAGCAAAACAATCCATTATTAGTCTTTGACCGTGAGATCAAATATTAGCAAGTGCAATACCAATTAATTACACTCTTCCTAAGCAAGGTATGCGGATCTTATCTTATGTTGCTGCTTGCTGGGATACCACTATCTTTAGCCTATTCTGCTATTTTAGGCTCTTCTAAGAAGAAAAAAAATAATACAAGAATCCTAAATGTATTATTGAAATTAATGTCGAGCTATACATCTAGTCAGAGTGGAAAATCCCACTGAACTCTTCATGCAAGGAACTGTTCCATATTGAATCTTACCGATATATGTTTGTTATCTGGCCCACTCTTTTGTATGTATGAGAAATTCTGGAATAAGTAGCAAGGAGACATGCCATGAATTATAAGTTGACCAATAAATAGTGAATTTACATTCACCTTGGTCTGACTATTATCAAGGATCCATGAAATCAAATCCCTAGTTTAATTAGTAACAACCTACTCACTTATGATCTAAAATCTATCTGGAATCTGTATTGAAGATTTTCTAAGCATACATTTCTAAGAACCAAAACACTGATGAGACTGAACACTGACAAATTTGATAAAGATTGTACGCTCCCAGTTTAAATTCGTACACTATCAGTTTGCAATTGTAAGGTAACATTGAATGACAGTAAAAGATAGTGATTGAATAACTACCATGCTATTGTTAGCACACAGGACAAAGAAAAACCAAAATATAAAATATTGAGGAATAACAACTTGTGCATATGCCAAGTCAGAATTACATGCAGATACTTGTTTCATTTTTCTTCAATGCTAATTCTAGGAGGGAAAGAAAAATTACTTTTTATAGTTTTGAGAGGAAAGTCACTTTAGAATTTGGTGATGGGGTAAATAAGGCAAAACTAGAGCAAAGAAGGGTTGATGGAACGTTTGAAGGTAGGAGATCCAGAATACATGTAGTCTTTCCAGTGATTCAAACCAGTGTATAGAAACCAAGAAAGAGACTAAAGACAAGGAGAAAACCAAAGCAAGAAGACAAACAGCAGTTGAGTACAGGGATGAGACAGTAAAAGAGTATCACATAACCTCTCTCAAGTTTTAAGATCAAGTTAAAGTGGCTTGCTTCTGGGATCACCAATAAACTGCTTTGGAATTGGAGACACGAAGTGTTTCCGTTGTTGCTTCTCTTGGTGTGGTTGATCATGAGAAGACAAAACAAGTCTAAGTGGTTTTCATGTTCCTTAAACACTAATAGAGGGTAAAGTGAGTTTTATTGTCGTAACATTAAAAAACAATTTAAGTGAAAAGGAATGAAAATAAAGAAAGAGTAAATAGAGAGAGAGAGAGATGGTGGGTGTTTAATTATGGGAAAGCAAAGGTGAGATGGGGGGGACAGAGAAATCAGAGGAAAAGGTATTGGGAAAAACAAAATTTAAAGAGAGAAAAAGAGTATGATGAAAAATGGTATACTTAAAAAATTTTGGTAGAATTTAGAGCTTTTTAGAGAAAGCAAATATCTGCTTGCTTCCGTGAGATGTAAAAAGTTGAAAGTATCGAACAAGTTGGTTGATTGAACATAGTATGAGAAAGAAGTAAGAACAGGTTAACAGTGTAGTCATTATTCCCACCAAAGATTCTCTTGTCTCACTTTTTCTGTGTGGCCCACTTCAAAAGTGCTTCAGAATTCAGATAACTCCATAATGCATGGGGTCGGGTCGCCTTTCATAGTTTCACGTCCATAATCCATCTATCACGTCCAGTTTCTTTGTAACATTGTTTCTTTATCCCATTTTTTAACAATTCAGCACATGTCCTTACCTTACCCAGGTTGCGTTTCTAACTCACTCCAGTACTACCTTCGCCACCCAAATTTTTATCCTTATCCTCACTACTTAAAAGCCTTTGCTCCACCAAATCAAACAAACTCAAATATATGTTTTAGATTGCTCAATTGGTTACTTCACTATGCTGCTTCAACGTGCAAAACTTCTTTCATATCGAGTTCTATTTTTATAAATTAAAAAATATATATTTAATTGTCTATGAGGTTGATGGAAAAATATAGAAGTAATATGATATAAGTACCCGCAATATGAAGAAAAAAAAATGAATTGTTTTTAGTAAAATGATAGATAAAAGATTTCATCTCATAATTGTTGAACATGGAGCTAAAGATTTGTTAAAAAATCTTAGAACTTTTACTTAATAATTAGTTAAAGTTTAAAAATACTTAATTCGATCCAAAATTTTATTTGTCAAATTAAAAATTAATAAAAAATTTCATTTTTGACGTTAAATTTTTTTTTTGAATAAATATATTTATCAAAATAAGATTTTGATGGTAATTGTGATTTAATTGAGTTTTTTTTTCTTCATATATTGACACTTTATCCTTTCATTTTCAGTAGGATTTTTTTTTATTGAGATAATTTTTTCCTTATACAAACAAAAATTCTCCAACCTTTCATTTTCTAATCAAAATTTGACGAACACTTTTTTACGAGGAACGTGCATCAATCTCGTCTTTTCTTCGTACTTTAAAGATTTCCAAACAACTGAAGGATCTGCTGTCGTGCTTTCCTTCTGTCCACAATTCTTCCATCTATTTTTTTCAATTAAACCAAACAAAACGTAAATATGACATTTCTATATTTCTATACTATTATATATAGTAGTGATTTTTTCTTTTTTAACTTTTCTGGTTTCTTCTTTTTAGTATCATTGTATTTCTATAATTATCTAATTAAAGCACTCACCCTCCTTAGTCAACTATTACGTAATTTATATTATCTCTATTCTTATTTTTTAAAAAAATAATATAGAAACACTTCCACTAATATATAAAAAAATTAAAATGAGTAAACTTTTAGTATCCAATTATTTGTTATTTTAAAAAAAAAATTAGTTTCTCATAAAATATGTTTTATAAACACAAATATGAAGACGGATACTCCATCCAAATGGACCAAATCCTCCCTCCCTATTGACATCCTACTCCTGCCCTTCAATTTCAAGATGACAATTTGTAATGCAGCAACAATTGATGGATGAAAATTTTATTTTCTTTAGAAGGTGGGGAAGAGAAATATTAATTTATTCAAGAGTAAAGCATGGTTCAAGTTGCTAAATAGTCACAAGTACACTTTGGCCACTCTAATTTCAAATAATTTTACATTGCAAAGCACGCACCATTAGAACAAGGATTTCAAAATGTGTGATTCTTTCATGGAAAAGGACAACAATTTAAACCACTACATATATTATATAGGATTAGGAAGGCAAGTTGACACATAAGATTCATTAGCATAAAGAGACTGAAGGGGATGTCATGGCCCTCAACTCCCTCATTAAACTCACATTTTTGGAGGTGAAGATAATGGCATGGTCCATTATTCCAAGCACGAAATTATAGAATCATGATGGTCATAGGTCCCTTTTTCTTCCTTTGATTATCGATTTCAGCAACGCTAGTTGTCATTTTATTGCTTCTGACATACTTTGGAAAGTGGAAACAAATGGGTCTCACAAAATCCATCATACTATGCTACCCAACAATGCCAACATTCATAACCTTCATATAAATATGTGAAACTTGTCATGTCACCATCTTTATATCTTTTTTTAAATCATATAACCAAAGTTTTAAAAATAATTTTTTCTTTCTTTAAATTATTTTTTTTTTATAATTGAGACAGGAGAAAATTTATATCAACCTTGACATGTTTCAATTCCACGCACAAATGTTTTTGTTATGAAATGGTAATGGGCAAAACAAGCGTAAGTAATAGTCTTTGCCACCCGTTCATGTTCATATGGTATAAGTATTCATTTAGTCAATATTTATAAATTATATATATATGAGTGCTTACTGTCCATATAATTTTCATCTAAAACAGTTCTTACCCAATTTGTAGCTGCAAATAGTTGCTCCAAACAACCTTTAAGGTATGTGTTGTAACTCATCAATTATATAATTTCCACTTCACATTCACCCTAATTTAAAAATAAAAAAATATGTGCAAGTATTATCATCTCAACTATGGACAGGGCCGACCCAAAATTAAACTATAAGTCTACTCAAAGAAAAAAAATTCCATTAATTTTTATATAAGAAGAGTCACATCTTTTTAAATAAAAAATCTCATATGTTTTAGCATATATTTTTTTATTCAATGAAAAAGTTTAATCAAAGTTTACTTTAGGCTTCATTTATGACTTGCAACCGCTGGTGCCTTGATTGATGTGTCGAGTAAGAATGTAAGATGAAGAATCGAAGATAGACTCTCCCATGTTGGGCCAGATGAATTGTACCCCCATTTGGCCCACGAAGCAGAAGACACATTTCCTACATCCAGTTGAACCTGAAATCTGGCCCAATACCGTTTGGCTGTGCTGTGACAAATGACAATCGAATATAACATAAATTAAGGGCATTGAAACCAAATATATTCTAATCCTCATGTAACGTCAGTGTAAAATTTTAACTAATAAAAAATTATGATTTGTATGACTTTTAAAATAATTGTTGTAAAAGTAAATAAATTTACTATGCATGTTGATTTATGATAGGATTTCACTTTAAAACTATTCTATTCTGTCAATGTATAGCTTTTTTTTTCTTCTCAATATTCTAAGTAGCATGAAAATTTGGATAAAATATAGATTCGAATCTTGTTTTCTCATTATAAAAAAAACGAAAATAAAATACCCTATTTGTTTCAAGTTTCAACTCAAAGTGTAGTCCATTTTCATACTCCATATTAAAGCCCGTACCAATTTATTTTAAGGATTGGAGCTGCCAAAAAGTTCGAATTCAAAGGCCCGTAACAACCTTGTCACAACATGTATTTTTTTTAATAAAATTTATAATGATTTTAAAAAATCGTAAAGAAATGGTTTTAATTAATAAAATGCTACATGATATAATATTAAATATATTTCGAAGATAATTATTTTTTATATATGATGAGCATAATTAAATTCGATCTCATAAAAATTACTCAGATTTATTCACTGGTGTAATCTTACGAGTTTTCTTCCAATAATTTTGTTTAAACATTTGATCAATCACCACCAACAGACAAACATAAAGTTAGTTTTGACAAAATAAAAATATTATAAAAGAAATATATCCTAAAATTTATAGTGAGTGAATGTGTGGAAACTATTTAAAGTTAATTTAGGTTAAATAACTCTCTAAACCCTTGTCATTTCACGAAATTTTTAAATAGATATTTTCAATTTTTTCAATGGGATCTTCACATTTTTTTAAAAAAATAAATAATTATTTACTCTCTTTTTTGATACATAAGTATTTACCCTCTCTAATCATCGTTTTTATTATTATTTTTATTAAATTATAACAATTTATTTTTTGATAAACCATGAAATTTTGTTTAAAAAATAGATAAATTATAAGAATTTATTTAATAAATACCCAATTAAATAGAGTTCAGTATTTGATTTGAGTTTCCAAATCTTTACGTTTAGTCTAGTAAAAGTTAATATTTGTTAATAAACCGGGACTTATTGAAAAGTTTTAAAAGTTGTTCATAAGTTTAAATTATAAAAATTTTATTTGGAAATTCAAATAGTATATTCAATCAATATTTTTGAAAGATAAGAAACATATTTATTTTCTTTAATCATAACTCTAGAAACTGGATTTAAATTTTCCTGGTAAAAGTAATGTTTTGAACTTTTTATGATGAGATATAACTTTCTCTTTTCCATAAAAGCCAAAAACCGAGATATTATTTCAGACAAACAGCTACCAACTGCCATCATACTTCTTTTTCCTCTTTTTTTTCGGTGAAACTGTTGTAATAGCTTCCCACAGATGATAATCACTTAAATTTGGAGCTATAATTAAGATTCTAAACTCATTTAAGTTTTTACACTATTGCATATTTGAAGGGTGAATACCGTAGAGAAAACAACGATAAGACAAAGAAGTTGGCAAGATTTGCATAGTAACTCAGAAGCCAGCATCAACTAATAAGCCCCAAGCCCTGAGTCCAAGAGCTTTTTGCTCCTTCCCTTTCTCATCCTTTACTAGATGACAACACTCATTACGCTAAACTAAATGAGCACGGGGTCTTCAAACCTTAGCACAAGCATTAAGTAAGCCCCTAACTAAGGGCCTTTGCATTAGTAAGGACATAATATATATCACTTTAAAGCAAGGTACAAAGGAACTCTTGCTATGAAGATGGAAAATGCTCGATCGGTATGAAATTGCTCCAACAAAGTGAGAGGGATGTATAAGCTTGATTGAAAGGAGAAGGACAATTGGAGGAATGAAATATAATTTTTAATGTTGTCCTAAGCACTACCACTAATGGGATTTACTCAAGCTAAGCTATAGGATTTCATTTCCTTCCCTAAGACTAGAAAAAGAATACGTAATATATTAGATATTATATTTTTCAATGATATAAATATTAGTAACTAGCAACAAATCGTCAAATTTATCAAATTAAACCTCACCTTGACAAACCTTACTTGACAAATTAGATGATCAAGTTGCCAATATCTACATTAATGGATTTTATAGATGTTTTTCAAGAAAAAAACTTTTCAAATCATATTATTAGACAAATTATGATAGAAGATTAGTTATATTAATAATAGGTCTCTTAGACGAACTACTTTGTTTGTGAGACAAAAATATTTAATATATATCATTTATGATATCTGATAACCAAATCATATTTGTCTATGTTATTTCTTAATAGATCGAAAGGAATAAAAACTCCAGTACTCACACTACAAAAAAAGAACACAAACATACTTTATGTTAGAGAAAGGGCCAACAAATCCCTCGAAGCATACAAAGTCTTAGAAAAAGTTATTTTTGACTAACACACAACAATTCCTTCATTTTGATATTGTAAAGGTGATGAGCAGCTTCCTTAATTAAATAAGAAATAACAATTTGGTGAAATACATTTAATGGACCAACGGATACTTATTTCATCAAGGAACGAAGATGAAGACAAATGAAGTAAGCTTGTGAGAGATACTCGAGGATTTATAATGGTCATCTTCATGAAACACCTATATAAAAAAATAAAATAAAAGATAAAATAAAATAAGCTTGAAGGTACATTTACTGCTCACATGTTGTATGTTGTTGTATGATTATAATTCTTTATACATTGACTTAGGATGGTGTATATTAATGATAAAACTATGGAAAGTTGTAATTTGTTGAAATGTAGTGAAATTGTATATGTTGGTAGTGTTGAGAATAATTGTGTTGAGAAAGCTTAAAGCATGGTATTGAGTTGTATTGATTGACTTAGGATTAGAAGAGAGGTTGTTTTAAAAGTTGAATATCCCATTGTAAGGATATGATGTTATGGTGCTCTGTAAGTCTAATTGTTAAAAACTCTTATTGAGAAATTGATTATTGAAGTGAAGTATTGAGTCTCCTCTAAGACCTTAATTAATGTGGTATGTGGGTCAGGCCAAGTCATACTGTCTATAAGCGGCCAAATGTTGATCCATATAAGGGTTAGGTCAAGTCATACATGTATAAAATGATCAATATAAATTCGTATGGGATAAGGTCATGCTATATGTATACAAAGTGACTAAACCGAGTAAGGTATAAGGTTAGAAGCCAAAATCCCTAACTAAGTACTAGAAGAGGCATAATATTTGGACGGTAGTCGGTGAACTAACTTCATAGGAGACTTAATTATGCATGCTAAGGTCATGGTAGATTCACATCTAAGCTATTATACCTTGATAGGAATAATAGACTTTCCAAGTTTAAGTGACAAAATCCAATAAATCATGTTATGTTGTGGATTTATATCCAAATTTGTTGTTAATCTAACAAGTTCAAAGAGATCATGCTATTAAGTTAGTTCAATAAGATCAAGCTATTAAAAATGTTCACCTGTGTTGTAAGAAATCTCTTTGTTGAATGTATAACGACACATGTAATTGTTGTGTTATGCATATAATGTATTGATATGTTTTACTGTTCATATGCCATGTTGAGATGTTGATAAGTTGTATGATTGTGTTGTAGGATGAGAAATTGTGTAGTTGTGTTGCAAGTGGACAATGTTGTTATGTTTGTTAAGTTGTTAACTGAAGTGGTAAAGCAATTGAGTTGTTTTAGTTGTAGCATATTAGTTCATTCTTCTATATTGTTGATTATTTTTAATATTAACTTATTCTTGCATATTTTCTTTTGGTTGAATTATGATAATCATATTTATATGAGAGTAAGATAGAGATATGCTAAAAGAGGAGTATATTTTGGGAGTCATGTTGTAAAATAGCGATGTTGTCTTAAGTTGCTCTAATGTAACTATCTCGTATAAATGTTGCTTGAAAGAATTAAAATTTTATACTTTCAATTGAATTTTATTGTAATTATGTATATATGTATCGGATCTATGTTATAATTTTATTGAAAAATTTTATGATTTCAGTCAATTAATTTATATATATATATATATATATATTGTTGCACATATATGTTTATATGTTAATCTTAATGATTATATTTATATTTTTTACTACTAGTGTAGTTGACTACAAAATGTGGGGAATTACTGAATTATTACTCTAAAAGTTATTTTTTTATAGATAGAAGACTATCTATCCTTATCATTTTATTTTCCTACTAAAGATAGGATACGACAGATAAAATTATTATATCTTCTTACACGATTTAAATAAAAAGTATTATCATTTAAAAATAGAGCAAAAACACTTTACGAACTTGCCTCTATAATCTTATTCTAGAGTCGATTTAAGTCTAAAAAATCACAGAGAAGTATAATTTTTAATTTGTATAATTTCAAAATATAAATATCATATAAGTACAATAGAACATGCTTGTGTTTGTGAGAGGGCACAAGCTCTATAAAACATCTTCACCACAATTAACTTCATTATGTTATTCAATAATTGTTCGATTTTTATATTTTATAAGTTTAACTTTGATGTCCTTATTTAGCTGTCCACGTGTTGGCTTTTATGAATCTGCTGTATCACTCTATCTTTCAATTTTATTTTTTGTTTAGCTGTCCACATGTTGCCCTTTACGTAGTATTCGCAGTCAACAAAGTCTCAGATTTTTTTTATTGGATATTTTGATTATTATTAATTTATTATGTCCAACTTAATTAACTTTTTCTACATTCACGACTGACAAGTATGTAAATAGCTTTTGTAAGGAACATACTACATTCTTTTTATAGAAATACACTTTAAAATAAAAATACTATTTAATTTGGTTTTTCAAATTTTAAATTGTTTAATTTGTTCTTATAATTTCTATAAAAAAAATGTTGATTCTTATTTTTTTCTCCCGAATTAACAATGTTAATAAAATTAGATAAAAGAATAATATTGAACATTTTAAAAATTAAATAATTAAATTAAACAATTTTAAAATAAATAGATCAAATTGAAAAACAATCTATATTATGTGTTATATTCTTAAATAGATTTAAGAATATATAGTTTTTATGTTGATAAAGAGTCAAAGAGTGAATCACAATGGTTGATTGAGAGGTGAGTTGAAATTTAAAAGAAGCATATCTTAAAGAAGTAGTATGATTAAGAGCAATTTCCCTTACACAGGTGGCAAAAAATATCTAACATAATCACTTATCAATCATTTGTTTGGATCTTCCGTAGAAGACATTTAAGCACCTAAAGTAAACTACACCAACAATACAGTCAGAAGCAGAAGCAGAAGCAGTTAAACAGATCCACACACACTGTCTTTCAAGTTTCATCTCACCACAGACAAACAAAGAAACAAACAAAATCACTCTAACTGTAACCTTCCCTCCAAGAAGCCAAGTTGGCAAGTAGACCCACAAAACAAGACAAGTAATGTAGAGACTAGAGAGTCTCATGCATTGCAATTTGCAACCGCACACGTGCTCATTACTCCCTCCCTCACTCTCTCCGTCTTCCCCTTCTCTCTCTTCACTCTCGCCACTCGCCACTCGCCACTCACCACTCACCACTCACCACCCTCATCATGAAGTCCCACATCGCTTTTCTCCTCTCATGTTTCCTAATCCTCTACGCGCACGCCCAGGACGCCCCCGCAATGCTCGCTCTTAAAACCACCCTCAACCCGCCCCAATCCCTCGGCTGGTCCGACCCGGACCCGTGCCGGTGGAAACACGTCGTGTGCTCCGAGCAAAAGCGGGTCACCCGGATCCAAATCGGTCACCAGGGCCTCCAAGGAACACTCCCCAACAGCACCGTGATCCAAACTTTGACCCAATTGGAACGGTTGGAGCTCCAATTCAACAACATTTCGGGTCCTCTCCCGAGCCTAAACGGGTTGAGTTCGCTCCAAGTCCTCATTCTCAGCAACAACCGATTCACTTCCATTCCCGACGACTTCTTCGCCGGCTTGCCGGAGCTCCAGAGCGTCGAGATCGACAACAACCCCTTCAAGCCTTGGAAATTTCCCGACACCATTGTCAACTCTTCCTCGCTACAAAACTTCTCCGCGAATTCCGCCAACGTTGTCGGAGCACTCCCGGAGATTTTCTCGAGTCTTCCCACGTTGACCCATTTGCACTTGGCCTTCAACAATCTCGAGGGTGTGTTGCCTCTGAGCCTTTCAAGCTCTCAGGTTGAGACTTTGTGGCTGAACGGGCAGAAGGGTAACAACCTTGGTGGCAATGTTGGTGTTTTGCAGAACATGACATCGTTGACGCAGGTTTGGTTGCATTCCAACGCGTTCACTGGGCCTCTTCCTGATTTTTCTGGGTTGCAAAGTTTGCAGGATTTGAACTTGAGGGATAATTCTTTCACGGGTCCTGTTCCTGGCTCTTTGTTGGGATTGAAATCGCTTAAAGTTGTGAATTTGACTAATAACTTGTTTCAGGGGGCAGTGCCTGAGTTTGGTTCTGGGGTTGAGGTGGATTTGGATTTGGGTGATGATTCGAATAGCTTTTGTTTGCCACGTGTCGGGGAGTGTGATCCCAGGGTGGAGGTTTTGCTTTCTGTTGTGAGGGTTTTGGGGTATCCTAGAAGGTTTGCTGAGGATTGGAAGGGGAATGATCCTTGTGCTGATTGGATTGGGGTTACTTGTAACGGTGGTGGGGATATTACTGTTGTTAATTTTCAGAAGATGGGTCTTGAGGGTTCTATAGCTCCGGAGTTTGCTTTGCTTAAGTCATTGCAAAGGCTTGTGCTTGCTGATAATAATCTCACAGGGTCTATTCCTGAAGAGCTAGCTTCTTTGCCCGGGCTTGTTGAATTGAATGTTACAAACAATAGGCTTTATGGGAAGATTCCTAGTTTTAAGAGCAATGTGGTTGTTACCACTAATGGGAATAAGGATATTGGGAAAGATAAGCCCAGTCCAGGACCAACATCATCACATTTAGGTCCACTAAACTTGACAACTCCAAACACAATGGAAGAAAATGGTGGGAGAAGATCTTCACATGTCGGGGTGATTGTGTTTGCTGTGATTGGTGGTGTGGTGTTGGTTTTTGTGATTAGTTTCTTGGCTTTTTGTTTGTTTAGGATGAAGCAGAAACGGCTGAGCAAGGTGCAAAGTCCTAATGCATTGGTTATTCACCCGCGGCATTCTGGATCGGATAATGAGAGTGTGAAGATAGCGGTTGCGGGTTCAAGTCTCAGTGTTGCTGATATTAGTGGAATTGGAATGCAAAGTAGGAGTGAGGCAGGGGATATCCAGATGGGTGAAGCTGGAAACATGGTTATTTCTATACAGGTTCTGAGGAATGTCACTGACAACTTCAGTGAGAAGAATATACTGGGACAAGGAGGTTTCGGAACTGTTTACAAAGGTGAACTGCATGATGGCACAAAGATTGCAGTGAAAAGGATGGAGTGTGGGGCAATAAGTGGAAAAGGTACAACAGAATTCAAGTCTGAAATTGCTGTTTTGACCAAGGTTCGCCACCGGCATCTTGTTTCTCTTCTTGGTTACTGCTTGGATGGGAATGAGAAGCTTCTTGTGTACGAATACATGCCTCAGGGGACATTAAGTAAGCACCTTTTTAACTGGATGGAAGAAGGACTGAAGCCACTGGAGTGGAATAGAAGATTGACCATTGCCTTGGATGTGGCAAGGGCTGTTGAGTATCTTCATAGCTTGGCCCATCAAAGCTTTATTCATAGGGACTTGAAGCCTTCAAACATTCTCCTTGGAGATGATATGAGGGCAAAGGTTTCAGATTTCGGCCTTGTGCGACTTGCTCCTGAAGGCAAAGCTTCTATAGAAACAAGGATTGCAGGAACTTTTGGATATTTGGCACCAGAATATGCAGGTATCTTCATGTTTTTATTCCCCTTCTCATTGAATTTATTTTTTCTTCCTTTGTGTTCTATATCGTTTTTAAATTAGAGGTTAATACATATGCACTGTCCATGTAAAATCTTATCAGAAATTATCGTTTATACAACTTTTAAGATATTTATTATACAAGTCAACAAATTTATCATACATGATAATTCATGACTAAATGAGTGTTAAAAATCTTTTCACTTTTAGTGCATATATTATTTATTTATTCTTTCAAACTATTCCTAAAGAAGCAACTAGAGATATTCAATGCGCATATTAATTATTCTTTGTAGCATTCCTAAAGAAGCAAGTAGAGATAAGCTGTTCTTGATCTAGACATTGGTTTTCTTTGAATGTTGGCCATATATTTCAACTCAATGGATAAGTATCTTTGGGAAAAGTATATCAGTTTGAGTAGCATATCAATAGCAATTTGGTGTCTAGAATGCTTTATAAGCAACTGACAACTTTCATTTCATTTGAAAGGTAACCTGATGTTTTTCTCATATCAACTGTGATAAAACTGATTTGTTCCCCCTGTAATTATTAGTATCAAAATTTTGCCGTTGATTGATTTCAAGGAAAATGTGTGTCTAACAATGTCATGGTATCTGTTTGCAGTTACAGGTCGTGTGACAACTAAAGTTGATGTGTTCAGCTTTGGGGTAATATTGATGGAACTAATAACCGGAAGAAGAGCACTTGATGACAGTCAACCAGAGGATAGCATGCACCTTGTAACATGGTTCCGTAGAATGTATGTAAACAAAGACTCATTCCACAAGGCTATTGACCACACAATTGAGCTCAATGAGGAAACACTTGCGAGCATTCACACCGTGGCTGAGTTAGCTGGCCACTGTTGTGCAAGGGAGCCATATCAAAGGCCTGATGCAGGTCATGCCGTTAATGTGCTTTCTTCTCTTGTGGAACTTTGGAAACCATCTGATCAAAGTTCTGAAGATGTATATGGCATTGATTTAGACATGTCTTTGCCACAAGCATTGAAGAAGTGGCAGGCTTATGAAGGTAGAACCGAAATGGAGTCTTCTTCTTCTTTGCTCCTTCCTCCTAGCTTGGATAACACTCATACAAGCATACCTACGCGTCCATTTGGATTTGCTGAGTCTTTCACATCAGCAGATGGTAGGTGATCATGCTTGATTGTAAATATACTTGTAACTGTTGGTGGTTCTGTAGTTTATTTCCATTCTCATTGCTTCTTGCTGCCTTTTCTATTTGAACTTGTCTATCATTTTTCTTTTTGTAGTCTCATCCACGAGAGAAAATTATCCGGTAATCTAATACTTGGACCAACCAAGTATCTATAGTCCCACTTAATTTTTTGATTCCTTCCACGGTTAATGTTACTTCTTCAGCTTTTGTTATCAACCTTTCACTGCCAAATTGAGAATAGATTCTTAACCGAATATTTATTTCTCATCTTAATGAGATAAAGCTTGAATATAACAGTTGATTGGAAAGTTATTGAATAAGATTCTGATAAAATATACCCACATTTTTGTTTGCTTTACCCATTTTTTTTGTCAGTCAACCATATTCTGTCATACATAATAATAATATACGTTAGCATAATGGAAGTGTTAGATGGTTATAGTTTTTTCTCATCTAATGCCGTGGCATAGCGGGACCATGAGAGACGTCAAAATTCAACAGATGTGTCCGTGACCATCAGGCACAGGTGCAAACTGCAAACTAAGGTAATGTAAATATATATTAGTGGAGAAAAAGGAAAAAGAATAATAAAAAAATTATAATGATTTGAGATCCATTATTCATTACATTTTATGCATGCTATATTGGTGTTTTAACTCTAAATATATTGTACAGCAGTATACTACACATCGTATGTCTAGTCTTACGTGAAATCACCTTCAACCTATTTTTCGAGCTTTTGTCACTTGTGTTTTATGATTTTCTAAGTTTTATTACTTAATTATTTTTCTTAACTTTCAAGGTTTTGCATAATTTATTACTATGATTAAAAAATTATATTTATATATTGTGATAAAAATAAAAATAAAAAATTAGGTGGCGAAGGTCGAAGCCCGGCGGTTTATGTCACCTGCTCCCCAGGTCTTTGGTTATTTTGGATATTTTTCGGTACGTATGTACGTGTATGTATATATATATATATATATATATATATAAACAGTTAATTGATTATAAATAATTAGCAAATACTTAATTATTTATATAAAATAATTTATAATTATTTTATCAATGTTTACGTAGTAATATACTTATATTTTTATTAAAGTTTAACTTTCATTTATGATCAACTAATTAAAAATCATCATAAATATGTTCTTTTAAAATAATTATTATAATCTACATAATCAATGCATTTTAATTGAACATATATTATAATATATATTATTCTATTATATACCAATAAAAAGTAAAATAAATTATATAGCACTAAAAAAAATACAATAAATTATATATAAAATGATACATTTCGTTTTTTTTTTCAATGACCAAAACCTTAGGTGTTTCTTGGTCATATTTTTATAAGAATTAATCTAAAATATTTTTATATTAATTATTTTTTGACAATAAATATTTGTAATTAATGCATTTCGAAGAATACTTTCAAAAAAATTGTAAGTTTTGTACTAATTTAATGTCACCAATTAGATTAACTAATTTTCTTAATCTTAATAAATTAGATAATTAAATATTATATAAAAAAGAGAGTAGAAGAAGTATTATATATATAATACTTGATATAAGTATTTCAAATTTATGATAAAACTCATTCATTGAATCAAATTGATCCAATAATCCTAAATATCTCAATTAAAAAATAAAACAAAAAATTAAAAATAAGTTAGAGACCCAACCCTAACAATTGAATCGCATAATTTAAATCTTTATAGTTGAATTTAAGAGAAAATTGATTCAGTTCGTAAAGAATAATGTTATTCATACATCTAATTGTCAGAACACAAAAGATAAAAGAATAAAAAAAAAAGATAAAATAAAATAAAGATGTAATATATTATAAGTTATCATATTAAAATTATATACATTATGACATACCAAGATTAAAAAAAAAAATAGTAAAGAAATATTACAAAATTATATAAATGTGATTATGGTTTAATAAATATGATTTGTTAGTGAGATTATAAAACTCACCCCACCTAGGCGGCTAGTGTAAGCGACGCACGCACGCGGACACGTTACTACGCTGGCACGCGCTGTGGTACACGAAAAGCTGTGTTTGTAGGTAATAGTTAGTATCTTTACTCTCATATGCAAATTAGGTAGCACCATCATTATTCCACAAACCATACCCTCCTCATCTTCAAACATTCAACGGTCAACATTCACATAGTCACATACCTTACAACATAAAAATAATATAAACTCTCTCCCTTTATTTCAAAGTTGAAACATTCCTCCTTCAACCAACACATAGCTTTGACCCGCGTACCACACCCACTTTATGATGAGAACATCCTTGTCTTACAACCTTATATAAACCAACCACTCAACCTTCTTTCCTTCATATCAAACCAACACACACAAACAAAGGAAAAAAAAAAAAAAAAAGAAACCAAAGTTATTTGCTTTGTGGTAAGATCAAGAATCAAGAATGGTTTTGTCTTGGACTAGAAGAAACGTTTTCCGCCGTGGAAGGAAGGAGAAGGCACAGCTTCAAGGTGGTGAATTGGAGGTGGAGGTTGTGATTCCGAACCACTTCCGGTGCCCGGTGAGTTTGGAGTTGATGACAGACCCGGTGACTTTATCAACCGGCATCACCTACGACAGGTTGAGCATTGAGAAGTGGATTGAAGGAGGGAACAGAACATGTCCCGTCACCAACCAGGTTCTCACAACCTTTGACATCATCCCCAACCACGTCATTCGTAGGATGATCCAAGATTGGTGCGTTCAAAACACTTCTTTTGGGATTCAGAGGATACCCACTCCTCGGATTCCTGTCTCTAGTGACGAGGTTTCCCAGACATGTTCCAAGATCATGTCTGCTTCCCAACACAGGGATCACAAGAAGTGTCAGGAGTTGGTTGGGAAGATTAAGGTTTGGGGGAGAGAGAGTGAGAGGAACAAGAGGTGCATAGTAGGGAATGGTGTTTGTAATGTTCTTGCCTATGCCTTTGATTGTTTCTCAAGTGATGATTCTATGGACAAGCATGTGGTTGTTTTGGAGGAGATTTTGGAGGTGTTGACGTGGATGATCCCACTTGGTGATTCTCAAGTGATGAGTTCACAAGCTTCTTTGAATTCATTGGTTTGGTTTCTAGAGGGGAAAGACCTTGCATCAAGGCAAAATGCTGCTTTGTTGCTCAAGGAAGTGTATGTCCAAGAATTGGCCAAGGTTTCAGGAGTTGCTGAGGCTTTGGTTAAGATGGTTAGGGAGCCTATTGGGAGTACTGCCACCAAGGCTTGTTTGGTAACAATTTTCAACTTGGTTTCATCAGAGGACAATAGAGAGGGAATTGCTGAGAGATTTGTGGAGTTGGGTTTGGTTTCACTTTTGCTTGAGGCTATTGTTGATGGAGAGAAAGGTGTGTGTGAAAAGGCACTCGGGGTGTTGGATTGCATTTGTGATTGCCAGCAAGGGAAGGAGGTCGTTAAAAGCAATGCTCTCACCTTGCCTCTTGTTATTAAGAAGATTTTGAGGGTGTCACTGTTGGCTTCAGGTTTTGCTGTGTCTATTCTTAGGAAGATTTGTGACAAGAGGGAGGAAGGGGTTCTGATTGAGGCACTTCAGGTTGGGGCTTTTCAGAAGCTCTTGGTTATGCTTCAGGTTGGGTGTGACGAGAGCACAAAGGAGAATGCCACCGAGTTGTTGAAACTGCTCAATGGTTACAGGAACAAAGCAGAGTGCACTGACTCATCATCATTGGATTTCAAGCATCTTAAGAAGCCCTTCTGATTAGTCGTAGATAGGACTGAGATTTGTTTATTTTTTTACAGGTCATTTTACTGAAACAGAATTCTTTGATGTACAAAGATACACACGTGAACAAGGCATAGAAATTGTATACTCAAACATTCAATTGATTCTTTGAATTTATTCTTTAGAAAAGTGATTCAGAAGTAATTAGTTATATATAATAATCATGGTTGTGGCAAATAAGTTTTTTTTTTTTTAATTTTTTTTATGCAATGGTAATAAGTTGTCAAAGAAGTCCAAACTAAAAGATCTTCATGCCTTAGCAGTATTATCAACAAAAATATTGATCACTCTAAGTGTGCCTTCTTCCGGCGTTTGTTGAATATTTATATATCATAAAAACTATGTTACAAATAGTACCTTCTTTAATCCAATTATCCTACACGAAAACTTAATCATGGTCAGAAGTTGAGTAACACGAGAAAATGATCTCCAATTGGTAGAACCGATAACAAGAGTCTATATATTATGAAAGACTCTATATGTGGAAGGCAAAAGTTTATTTATACATAAGAAGAATAACTATTTATTTATCAGAACTTATTATACATAGTTTACATATTTTTATAAATAAAAAATACATAATTTACATGTCTTTCATCAAATTCTAACTTGTCACACCCAACTGATATAGACCAGATTGAAAGTCACGGGATTTTGTCAAATAAAAAGAGGAATATAAAATTTTGGTGACACATTGATGCCGAAAAACACAAAACAAAACAACTGACTAAAGTTCAATCCTTTGCTATGAGTTGACACTTGGCTCCACTTCAATACTCATTAAGCACTCATTATGTACCACACAAATGTAAATATTGGATTAAATGTTTATGTCGTCTTCATAGTTTTTACTATGACTCCAATTACACCAAGTTATGAAGTGATCAACGTAAAGGTCCTTTGTTATTTGCAAATACCTTAACTACATCAAGATAGAATTATGCAAGTATATTATTGACCATGACAGGTCACAAGTCTCATCCCCATGCTCAAGGAACAAGTACAATCAAGAGTTAGAACCAATTACTGATTCCAAGTACTCCAACATTCTACTTTTTCCTTTTCACTCGCTTTGACATTTATCCTTATCTTGAGATGTTTACTCAGGTATGTACATTAAAAAGTACTTGGTAGCTTTTATCGGTAATAAAATTTTCATCTGATCATTATATGGTTCATGTTAGTAGGAGGTTACAGCCAAGATTCTCAACCTTATGGAAGGAAAACCAGATCTAATTATTGGAAATTACACTGATGAGAATTTGGTAGCATCTCTTATGACTAATAAACTTGGGATAACCCAGGTTACTACCCTTTTATTGAAAATTTCCTATTCAGCAACTTTTCATCAGATTTCATCATAACCAGTATCCCTATCATGAAATTGCTGGAAGGTATGTCATATTAAAAGAAAAAAATATTTTTTGACATACTTTCTCTTATTACTTGGAAATTGGAATTTTGTCTAGCTCACTCAAGAAATTCACTTACATCGTTATAAAGCTGTACCGATATCAAAACTGAGAGAACTAGTAATGCAACATTAATTTCATAGTGCTTTAGATTAGAACCATTATTTTTTAGCATTTAGATTACTATTACACAACTTATAATGCATTGCTAGCCACTTTCAATCAACATTTCCTTTTCAGGGCACAAGATATATCACATAATAATAAAAAATTGACTAACAAAATTGAAGTTACTGAAATGTTGAACTTATTCTAACTTTTTTTTTTATAACTTTTTTCTCTCTTTTTTGATTCTGCAGCAAACGTTCGCAGTCTAGATTGCAAAGGTAAGATTTATTAGCTCAGGATTTCAAGATATGTATAAGCTTACAAAAATCTTGCTTTCTTTCAGCTTATTTAGACCTTAGTGGTTTAGGTCTTAATCACAAAGGAAGTCCAATTGCTAGGGTCTATACTGTCACACAGGATAAATAGATTGTTGTCTCTTCTCATCTAACAAAGGACATGAATCAAAAAATGGAGAACTGAGTTCTGGAAAAATAATTGAGGATATGGCCTCTTCTCCATATTAGACCTGCGATATAAGAAGAGAATCGATAGAATGCAGTGTGTGTTTTATTCATACGTAATAAGAAACAGTGTTGCTAATTCTTGTACGTACGTACTGTAAATTCAACCTTGCTAGCTATCAACTTCAACGGCTGACTTGTCATATCATACACTCGATCACTATTTATTAAGGACGCGAGTTCGGTTTACACTTTTTTTTTTTAATAATATTATACAAAGATTTATATCTTTATTAATCATGATATAATAAGATAAATTTAATTCTTTGATGTCTGGATAAGTTGGGATTTTTTTATCTTATTACTAATTATCTTCTTTCATTAGTCTAATACAGTTTTTTATCTATTAAAAAAAGTTAATTTGGAAATAATAAAATAAGATAGGAGTGAAAGTGAATGTATGTTACTGATATATTCATGAAGGAAAACCTATTGCATTTTTTGATTTATAAAAAAGAGTTAATAATGTCACGCAGAATTATTCTGTATGTCGTAGCCTTAAATATATATAAAAAATATATATATATTTTTACAAGAAGCATATAACAATTAATTTCTTCATGAGTTGGTAATTGGTAGTAGTATTTATAAAGGAATGAAATCCTTTCTTAAATCCAAGAGGTGAAATGTTTGTTCAAACGAGAGAGAAAACTAAATATAGTTAATTTGTGAATTGTCACCGAGAAAGAGGTAGCAATGTTAAATTCTCATCTGTGTATCAAATATATTTAACTCGTTGTTGACTGAAAATAAAAACAAAGAAATTAAAATACAAGTATAGATCCTATATTCAAAAAACAGGATTTCAAAAAGAATAATGTTGCCAGTTGATTGTTGATAACACTAAACCTATTTTTGAACATGAAAGACAATCATCCACATGTAACTATGGTAGGATCCATTGCTGCGGATGTGTCCCTGTCACACATTTCAGGACCAATATTTATAGGCACTTCTCCCTGCAAGATCATTTAACATGAGATGTTGAAAATTCAAAAACTCATCTTGCAATTCCTTTAACTTTAAGCTGCAGTAAGAACATACCTTTGCAATGTTCCTAAAATATGTCATTGTGTAATTTCCAGTGGGAAATAAAATTTCAATAATATCCGCTAGTGCCAATTGAGGTTGGGACATTGCTCCATTATACCAGTCTTCACATGCAGAGTATCACACAATTATAAAGTTATCAAGTAGCACAAGCTTCATGCAATTATACACAAGAGGTCTTTCTTTTTCTTGGCCATTAAAGTAAGGAATAAATATTAAGTAAAACTTCACTAGGAAAATCAAGTAGAAGAAAACATCTTTCAAATTCCATGCAAGTTAAAATAAAAGGCTAGTGAATTTGTCATAGCAGTTATTAAAATTCAAAATATTTATGTAAAATTATATATGTAAGAGGTACATGGATATGATAAATGCATTTTGGATCAACGTACTTACCAAGAGCTATAGAATTTTGAACACTTTTGTCATATCTCCATAGGCTTGTGTTTGAAATAAAAGAAAAACAAGAACGATCTTCAATATTTAGATTTTGGATAAATGTTGACAAGGTGTAGTTGGCTGGATCAGAGGTTAGTGTTTCATCAATGACTACTTCCACAGTCTGCATGATAAATAATGTTTAATCAACAAAAACGAATAAATAAAAAGATATTTAAGGAAATGAAAAGAAAAAAAAACCCTTTCTTTTTAGAATTTATTTCAATTCCAACAAATTAGAACGTAGGTCTATACTAACAGTATCATGCTTCATCTCAAGTTAACGGACTATTCCATTAGTATAGAAAATAGATTTATACTATCTGTATATCACACTGTTAACTAGTATAGAGGCAATCCTAATCCTAAGGCTTAACATTATTTTCCTGTTAATATGTGACATTTTTTAGTGATGTAACTTTGAAAAGTTTTTTTTTTAGTAAGTATTGAAGAAGTTCTACTGAGTACTTGCTTTACATAGATACTTGAGGGTTATTTTTATAAGATTATTTCACACACAATTCCATAATGATGAGATATTGTTCACTTTGGGACTCAATTCTCATGGTTTTGCTTTTGGTCATCATTCAATATGCCTCTCACTCATTAGAGTATGTGTATTCTTTATAAGTTGTTATTTCTTCTCTTATTTTATAAATGTGGAATTTGTTTGTATCCCGATACTTACACATAGGATAGCATGCAATTCCTCCAAGTCATCAGGATCAGAGACATTGTAAGTGTTCTTGTTGGCACCCAAAATCTCTCCGCCTGCATCTTCCACGTACTGTTGCAAAGCTCACGTAACAAAAATTAAGAAAGTGATTACTAGAAAAACAAATAGCAAGGGCCAAATTAACTAAAATACAATAAAATCAAGATTCTAATGATGAAAAAAGGTATTCATGCCATGTTTGCATACCTTCAACTGATACTTTTCCTTTGTAAAATACCAAACACCCTGCGAAGATGACATTTCAGTTGTAAGTAGCACAATGTAAACTCATTTTTATCATAAACAAAAGGCTAAAAGCCATGTATCAGAAGCTAAGGGTTTATTGCTATTCTTTAGCAGAACATTACATCAAACTGACAATATAACGTGGAAATTGAAACAAGGCTCCAGGAAAGGTGCATGGAACATTGTATTTATGAAGTGGGAAAGAATTAGGTAATGGGATGTGTGCTTTTGAAGATACATACATTTGTATACTTCATCCAAGCTACCGTTGGCTTGAATGTTGTCCTAGTTTTGGAAATTTTAGCCAAGCACAAATAGTTCTCCTTAACCTATAAAATAGCAAATCACTTTGTCAGAGAAACATGCATCCCAAAATCTAATCAGTTATTAGCACAGAAAATAATGAAATGATGATTTAGTATTCTATAAATGCAACTTTTAGTTTATGCACACAGAAACTTGTGAAGTTTAAAGTAATTTAAAAATACTTATTTTCCGATTTTCTCAGTTGAGGAAAGAATAGCATTACATTATATTAATTTGGTTAATAAGTAGAGAGGCATGCTGCCACACAAACTTATGAATTGCTGTTAAAATATAATTACAAAAAAGGAAACACATGGTTTGGTGGTTATTTAACATAGCTCTTCTGCCATTCGTTGATGCATTCCACATTTAAATTTTTGCACTCGGTATGTTATGTGTAATTGAAGTCATGATTAACTAATGGAAGTTTTCAGCTCTGATTGAAGTCTAATGATTAACTAATGGTAGTTTCAGCTGTGTTTTTTTTCCCAGAGAAACTGGTGCCACATTTTCATGTTCAGAATTCAATAGTGATGTTCAAAAGACGTAAGGAGTTGGAAATTTACATGTTTGATTTATGGAGCAAAGTGTCTGCACAAGTACCTATAATGCCACAAAAGTGGAATAAGTAAGGCCTTACCAAATTAAAATTGATAACGTAGTGAAATTCAACTATTTTTATCTTCTGTTTTATGCTAAAAAACTAAATATGTGGCCATTTTTCAACTCTATGATTCTCAATGTAATTTTTCTTCCCTTGCACAAATTAATTCATTTTCTGTGCTGTTGTCTTTATATGGATTTATTTAAACTGATGGCAATAGACTAGCTGGCAGCTTACAAGCTACATTTTAACAAATAGAAATAGTAAAAATAAGTAGTTTAACCCTAAAATCACAATTGGCATAGCAATGTAGACACAAACAATTAGGGACTAGGGACCAAACTGAATTTAATCCTAAAAGTTTGTTGATTTCTGATCATTAAATTCTTAGTATCTAATTTCAACAGCTTAGGCTTAGCAAGAGCCCAAGTGGAAATTCCTGATAAAAATGCAGTCTAGGTCTTGGACTGAACAACAACAAGAACCTACAGGCTACAAGATTACAGAATAAAAATGATGGTAGAAGTTGCTGAAAATATATTCAATCATATAACAATGTAGTTATGCCTTGGACTGAGTGGTGTGCTTACTGCAGTATAGACTTGATTGGCTCTAGCTTCAACATTTGCAAAAGCTCCCATGAATTTGATCCATTCTGCTCTCTATCAAAGTAAAATACAGTAAACCATTAAGCATTCCAGGCACATAAATGGTAAAATATCTCTCTTTTCCATAGATGGCTATATAAATTAATATGAATCTTCCAAGTGGGTTCCTAAACAGTAATCAGATTAATTAGCTGCCAAAACTGTTCTGAGCCAGATAACCCATGTCCATGACACTTAAAACATATGTTCTGATCCTTTTGACTTTTGAAAATTTATATAATTATAGAGCAATTTTTAGTTACTTACCTGCAAAGGGGTATCCTCTATATAGGGAGCAAAAGTTGCAAAATTGCAAGCTGGCTGCTGATCATTGTCACTTACGAAATATGAAGAAAACTCTGCAAGCTTTTGGTAATCACTACTGTTGAACATTTCTATCTGTCCTCCTTCGTACAATTTCAACACACATGGAGAAGCCACAGAGTTTGAGGTTATGCCTTTCAAGCTTTCCACTAACCCTAAAAGCTGTACAAAACAAAAGTATGAATAAATAAGAAGGCAAAGAGGGAATGCAAACCCTTCAATCTTGATCTTGGCAATACAACAAAACCTTTTAATGTGAAAACTTGCATTAGTAAGAGATTCTCACCTCTATGAAGGAAACTTGAGTTCCAATCCCAGGAGGCAAAAGAAAAAGTTAGTCATAATATAGGTGGAAGATACAATTATAGTATAAATTTGCTGGTAAAGAATAAGCCATGTAAGTTTATGATGAAGAAAGAATGATTAAATTGACTTGCCAAATCATTTGTTTTAGCATTGGCACATTGAACTGATTTGTAAATATTTACTGATAACTGATATGATTTATGGTGTTGTATGCTATAGAACCTTGATTCCTAAGAAAAACAGAATCAATTAGGTGAGTGAGACTGAGTCGGGAGATAGGAATATGCATGGCATACCTGGAAAATAATTCGTATCAACAGAATAGTTTGACAATGGTATGACAAATGACTTAATTCTTGATGTACAATATTTAGTCCTTGATGCAATCCTTGAATTATTCTGCCAGAATTGATGGAAGAAAAATGAGTAGGCTAGAAACACAGCTTAGCAGGAAAAATTCAGCAAACATGAAAATAATTACAAAAATAGCAATTTCTATGTTTGATTCCTTCTACCAAACATTCCCAGCAGAAGAAACGACAGGGTCCATTTTAGTACGCTCTTC